TGGTTTTATAATTTTTTTTTTTCCTATAATTAAGTGATGAGGATTTAAATGTGGGTATTTGATACCATCTTTTTTCGTATGCTTTTGCATGCTCTTTATTGCTTCTGTCATTGTTGTAGAATTAACCGACTCTCTTAGTGATACTCTTATGGAATTGTTTTTATTTATCATTACATTTTGTATTTACACTTGATTTTAGTTTTATCATGTCAAACACAATTATAACTTATAACTGAGAAGAAAGGTTTTATAATTTTCTTCTGGTTAAGTTCCGAAATTCACATGAATGTTTTCTGTCTGAACTAGTTTCTTTTCTATTTGTTCATTAATCATTCAATTCAACAAACAGAGTGAAGGTTATGGGAATAGAAAAGAATAAAAGATTTGAAAGAAGAATGTCGATTGGATTCTATTGAAAATGCATTCTGAAGCTATGCATTTATTGAACTGAAATTCTGACGTAAAATTTTTTCCTTTCAATATCTTTTTCAGTGTGGTAAAGAGCTGGGTGAGACGTTATTGAATCTCTCTCGAGCATGGGAATTGGCTGAGACATCAACTTCTTATGCTTTAGCACGCAAGCTTCCCGTGCTGGAGAGCTCTTTGTCTGACAGGGAAAATCAGCAAGTGCTGAAGCGTATGCAACTGCTGGTGCTCATGTACCTTCTATTTTTTATTTTCTTTTTGTAGCCCTTTGCTGATGTCTCTTATTCTGTTTCTTTTGTTGGTTTAGCATTTGGCAAACGTCTGATATCTTCTGGAAGGAGGTTCCAGTCCATGGGGCAGTATGGCCAGGGGGAATTACAGAAGGTATCTTACATCATCTGAAATTTGGTGGAATTGCTCTGTGTTGTTACATTGGTTGAGCACTGCTTAGAAACTTGTTGAATATAAAGGCAGTTGATTATTGAAAAAACTTCAAGTAAAATGGAGATGGGTCATTACAGTCTAGGCATCATAATACACTCCTTAGGTCTTGTAAAGAGAAAATAGAAATAATAGATTCCTGAGTCTTGTCATATGATATAGACTGTGTGGTTCTAGCTCTTTAGTAGAAGGGTTAATTTCTTTATTATTTTAAATGAAATCTGCTCGAGGTTAGATAATTTCAGATGCAAGAACACTTGAATGAGTTATTTAAAGGAAAGGGGCCGGAATCATAAGCTAAAGTTCACATGTGCGTAGGGTCAACAGATTACCCCTTAGCCACTAGATGTTACAGACAGAAAGAAAGGGAAACAAGGGAGAAGGAAAAGCCCTCATCTGTTTACTGTGATTCTGCTCAAACCAGAATTGTTGCACAAATAATTGTTGCCCAAACTGTATTTGTAGTATTAACCTCTAATATTCAGTTCAGCTCCTGAATAACTACGTTATTTGTTACAGAAAATGTGCCAAATACATATTAATAGACCTCAAACCACCATTGAAGTTCCAGAAAAATTATGGTAATGTTAAATAAACAGTTGCTACTGCCACAATGGAACTTATTGCCAATGTTTTGAAATGGCTGTTTGCTTTATATATGCAAGACGTAGAAGAATTCTGTTCTGTTATAGGAAATGCATGGGCCACATACCAAATTTCCCTGAATAGAAATTCATGCTTTTGACTTGGAAAGTTGTTTCTTCCTACGCACTCTTTCCTGCACAAACAAAATACTTACATAGCTATTTAAATCCATTGAGAGAAAAGTTGGAAATGGATGGGCTTTGCCCAAATAGTAGAACAGTTCTTGAAGGGGAAGTTTGTATAGCATGAACTAGTAATTTATGTGAATTGCTTAAATACTGTTTAAATATTACAGATTGCAAAAGCAATGATTACAACTGGAAAACTTCTATCTGCAACTTCAGTGTCTACAGCAATAGATGAGCAACCTAAGACAGAAGCAAGGGTACTGAAGGTAGGCCATAACATGGTACTTGTTGGGATGCAGCTCATAAATATGTATTTTGCGCTCTTAATGTGAAGTGATATTGTTTCGTGACTGCAGTTTGGAGAGCTTCAGGTAGAAGTAACACCGGATAAAGCCAATATTGGGGCTGCAATTGGATTTGTTTTCGGGTAAATATATTCTTTAGCTCGTAATTTTCTCATGGACTTGAACAAAATCATGCATAAACTAAACTAACTTTTAAGTGCTCGAACACCGGAACTGTAGTATCCTTTCATGGGAACTTGCTCAAGGTATCCAGAGCGTCCCGGACAGCTCATTGCAGTATGCAAATGACAATGCTTTGCTTCTGGCTAAGGTTCGGAAAAAATATTAACCATGTCTAATTTTGCCAAATATATGGTATTTGCCTCTGTTGAAAAAAACATTTCGTATTTGCCATTTGCAAGAAACTAACACACTTGGGAAACTCGTGGGTGCAGTCACTGAGGGGAGCTTTGCTGGCACTTTGCTATTCATCGACAGTTTTATCAGCTTTTACAACTGTTGGATTGCTTTTACTTGGTAAACAACTTGAGTCCAAAGAAAAATGACTTTCTTGGCTCTGCCATTCGTGTAATTTTCATTGTAAATTGCAAACTCCTCCTCACTGGTTTTTCCCTTTTGTTTTGTTTTGTTTTTTTTAAAAGAGAGAGGTTGAGGGTAAATATTGTAAAAGTAAATAGACTCTTTTCATCTCCTTTTCAATGCCTGCCTGAGAGCCTCTGTGAATGTTTTGGAATTGGGATGTTCACCTTTTGTAACAAGTAGACCCACGATATGGATTAATAGATGTTCTTACTCGTACTCGAAAGTGAGATCTATTCTTAGTTGGTCAGTCTCTAAGATTTTCCTTTTGTAACAAGTAGACCCACGATATGGATTAATAGATGTTCTTACTCGTACTCGAAAGTGAGATCTATTCGTAGTTGGTCAGTCTCTAAGATTTTCCTTTTGTAACAAGTAGACCCACGATATGAATAATTTTAATAGATAATTATGTTTTTTATATATATTTTTATCAGATATTATAATATTATTAATTATATTATTATTGGTTAATGATAAACAACTATCGTACAATTATTAAAATGTATAAATTTTTACTGAAAAAATAAAATTAGATATGAACTCAAAATTTTAACAAAGAGCTGAAATTTCATGATTAATTAAAATCAATTAATTTGAGGAATTTAACCTACTGAAGCTGACTGAAACAGGTAGATGATTCATTGATTCATCAAATGTTACATGAACATGAAATTTAAATATAATATTATATGTGTATACTTCATGATATGACTGAAACAATAAACAAATCCGTAGCCTAATTATTATACTCAAGTGTTTGATATGTGTGTATATATATATATATAGATATAGATAGTATGGACAAAGCCGCGGCAGCTAGGCCATGCCTTGGAAGGAGAAGAATCTGCTGATATGCATACAATATGTATTACATTATATTATATTATATTATATGTATGTGTATATTTATAAGCAATGCAGTCAGTGTCTGATGCCATAAAATAACACTCGATGGGTTTTGGTTGTCATGTCTATGTCATATTGTTTGTTAAATAAACTTTTCATATCTATATGATTCTTTGTATATAAATACTTTGAGTTCAGGAATTAGCAAAAGGGTGTATTTTCAATATATATATATATATAAGTGTGTGAGTATATATATATATATATATATATATGTATGAATGTATGTATATTGGGAAGAGAAGGTGTCGTAGTCTGCTGAGGCAGAGATTGGTTTTGTTAATAATAAGAATGGGTAATTGGCATCTTCTTCAACTTCACTGAGAAGCCATTAGTGACCATTGGCTTTTATTTTAATCACCACATTATTTGTTCACCAAGACACCAACAAAACCTAAATATACAAACGGGTATCTTATAGTATGTATATACATATATATATATATATATGTCTATATATATCTTTTCTATATCTTTGCAATATATAATAATTAATAATAAAGTGTTTTAGTTATTAAAATTATTATATTTTATTTAAATATTTCAAACTTAAATTTCATTAAAGATATGGATTTTATTTTTTTTTATAAATAAATTTATAATATTTAATTTAATAAATTTAATAATTTATTTTTATTAATATATTAGAAAAAATGTTGTGATTAAAATATTTTAATAAAATTATTAGATAATATCTTTAAAATATATAATATTAAAATATGTTGAATTTAGATTATAATAAAATTAAACTTTAAGATTATAAATTTAAATTTTATTAAAAAAATAAAATTTACATGTTATTTTATTTTATGAGTGTATTATAAAATTATATATAATAGATAATATTTTAATTATATAATTAATTAAATATTTTTTAGAATAAAAATAGATAAATTATGTGGCGGAGAGACTACTAGAGGAATATTTTTTTATGACGCTACAAATTGATTCATCTTATTTTATATTAATTAAATTGTTGGATAATTATGACATCACTTCTTACGTATCCGGAATTAAATTTAAAGAAGTGATGGCCAAGCAAAATATTTTCTCTGTAAGTTAATATCCCATGTAACTTATTTTATTTATTAAGGTAATAATGTGGGTTACAGTATTATTTATATATATATATATATATATATATATATATGACTGCATTCAGATACACATATATATGTATATACACACACTTCTAGAACGATGTAAAGATATAATTAATATTAAAAAAAAACTCTACAAAAAATATTATATATATATATATATACACACAATTTTAGAA